TAACTCAATTTATTTATTTATTTATTTATTCATTTATTTTGTTTAGTCGTTAATTAATTGATTATTTACTTATTTATTAATGTGTTTATTCAATTGTTTGTTTATTATTTAATTATTTAAATTATTTAAATATTTAATTATTTGATTATTTGTTAGTTGATTAATTAATTAATTATTTAGTTAATTAATTTGCTCATTAACTAGTTATTTGATTTATTTATTTGTTAATTTATTAATTTATTTATTCAATCATGTTTATTAACTAACTAATTGTTTAACTTGCTGGTTCATTGGTTAATTTGATCAGTTAATTAATCAATTAATTATTGTTTCAAGGGTTTAAACCCTAGGGTTTAGGGTTTAGGGTTTAGGGTTTAGGGTTTAGGGTTTGTTGTTGTTTGCAGATTTGGCCTTCTCTTGTTCCTTCTTTTTATCCTTCGGCTCCTCTCCATGTCTTCATGCCAGCTCTCGGTAAGTTGCTGCTGTTGCTGCTGCTGTTGCTGCTGCTGCTGCTGCTGTTGATGCCGCTGCTGCTGCTCTCTTGTTGGCGTTGCTGCTGCTGCTCTTATGCCGCTGCTGCTGTTGCTGCTGCTGCTGCTGTTGTGCTGCTGCTGTCGCTGTCTTGGTGTTGCTGCTGCTGTTGCTTCTTTTGCTGCCGCTGTTTCTCTTGCTGCCATTGCTATTGCTGCTGCTGCTGCTGCTGCTGCTTTCTCGTGAATCAGTTTCTGCTGTTGCTGCTATTGCTGCTGCTGCTGCTGTGCATCTATTTCGCCAAATGAGCATACACTTAAATTATGGATTGCGGTTTTAGGGTCTAGGGTTTAGGGTTCAGGGTTTAGGGTTTAGGGTGTAGGGTTTAGGGTTTAGGGTTTTTGTGCCTCAGGCATCCTGCAGCTATTGGCAGCCAGCGCTGCAAGCTTCATAAAAGACAGGTAAATTTAATTTATTTATTTTTATTCATTTATTTATTTATGTATTTATGTATTTATTTATTTATTTATTTGTTTGTTTATTTATTTTCTTTTTAGATTTGCCAGAGACGTCGCCCCCCATTTGCCCGCCCGGCTTTTTCTTTCCGCGGGAGGCGGCAGCCACAGATCTGATGCCAACAAGTAGGGTTTAGGGTTTAGGGTTTAGGGTTTAGGGTTTAGGGTTTGGGGCTTAGGGTTTGGGGTTTAGGGCTTAGGGTTTGGGGTTTGGGGCTTAGGGTTTGGGGAATGGGACGCGGATTTGGGCTGCGAGCCCAGGGCTCCTTTAAAAAGTTTAGGGTTTAGGGTTTAGGGTTTAGGGTTTAGGGTTTAGGGTTTGAACTAGAATCGGTTTGAGCGCAGATCAAAGCAGCAAAACAAAAGCAAAGCAAACAAACAAACAAACACACAAATAAATAAATAAATAAATAAAATAAATAAATAATAAATAAAATAAGTAAATAAATAAATAACAAATAAGTATTATTTATTTTTGTTGGATTGTTTTGCTGCTGCACTCAGGGCCACTTTTGGAGTGCTGCAGGCGCTGCTGTTTTGCCTCAAGACAGGCCCTTGTTTATTTGCTGCTGCTGCTGCTGCTGATGCTGCACTTTGCTGCTGTTTGCATGCGCTCAGCAGCAAATCCCCAAAAGCCACGCAGCAGAAAGCAGCACAAACCCTCGTCGCCCTCCACTGGATTAACCCCCCCAGGGTTAGGGTTTAGGGTTTAGGGTTTAGGGTTTAGGGTTTAGGGTTTAGGGTTTGGGGTTTAGGGTTTAGGGTTTGGGGTTTGGAGTTTGGGGTTTAGGGTTTAGGGGGTATAGTCTGGCGCTCAGGGTCTGAGCGTTTAGGGTTTAGGGTTTAGGAGGTAGAGGTGATTGCAAAGGGTTTAGTGTTTTGCTGCTGCAGCTGCAGCTCACGATGCTGCTGCTGCTGCGGCCTCTCTGCTGCTGCTGCTTCCTTTCTGCTGCCTTTCTGCTGCTACCCTTCTGCTGCTACCTTTCTGCTGCTACCGTCTGCTGCTGCCTCTCTGCTGCTGCTGCTGCTGCTGCTGCTGCTGCTCCTTGTCATGATTTTTTTTTACCGTGTCTTTTAGCTTTCATTTTATTTACATTTATTTTATTTAATTTAAATGTTTTGTTGCAATTTTGTTTTTATATTTTTTAGGTAGCCTTGAAATGCTCTGCTGCTGCTGCTGCTGCTGCGCTGCTGCAGGCAGCAGCAGCAGCAGCAAAAGGGGAGATGAAAAGAGAGACAGAAAAGGAGAAAAAGGAAGTAGAAAAAAACATAATGCTGCTGGTCCACGGCAGCAACAAAATCCTAGCTGCTGCTGCTGCTGCTGCTGCAGGGGAAAGAAACCGCAGCAGCAGCAGCAGCAGCAGCAGCAGCAGCAGCAGCAGCAGTGTGGGTCGTCTTTACTGGGGTGTATGTACAGCTGTGGACAAGGAAGCTTTGGAAAGGCTGATAGTTGTTTTTAAATTAAAATCAAAAGCAGCAGCAAAAGTAAACCCTGAATCAGTGGTTAAGTGCGTGGAAAGATTCACAGAGGCGCAGCTCATGCGCTCTTTTAGGGTTTAGGGTTTAGGGTTTGGGGTTTTGGCGGTTTGAAGACACACCAACTCCTTTTTATTTTTTGTTTTGGTGGCCCCGAAGAATAAATGAAAAAATGAGGAGGACAGCTTTGCCGCTGCTGCTGCTGTTGCTGCTTCTTTTGCTGCTGCAGCCGCTACTATTGCTGGTGTTGCTGCAGCTGCAGCTGCACTTATTGCTGCTGTTGCTGCCGCTGCAGCTGCTACTATTGCTGCCGCTGCAGCTGCTACTGTTGCTGCTGCCGCTGCAGCTACTACTGCTGCTGCTGCCGCTGCAGCTGCTACTAATACTGCTTTTGCTGCTGCTGCAGCTGCTACTAATACTGCTGTTGCTGCAGCTGCAGCTGCTAGTATTACTGCTGTTGCTGCAGCTGCAGCTGCTACTATTCCTCCCTTTTCCGGTGCTGCTGCTGCTGCTGCTGCCACTATTGCTGCTGCTGCTGCTGCTAGATGAGATAGAGTTTTAGATAAATAAAAAGAAATGAAAAGAATGAAACAAATTATTTTTTGTTTTTCTAAAAGAGCTGAGCAGCATTGACCTTTTGAAAATAAAAACGAAATTCATTTAAATAAATAAATAAATGAATGAATGAATTAAATAAATAGATTAAATAAAGAATAAGATAGAAACAAATTAAACTTGCAGCTTCAGCAGCAAATTGAACTCTCAAAGTCTTCACTAAAGAAGCTGCTTCATCCTCTCCACGCCTAAATGCAAAAACACAAATAAATAAAAATAAATTAAAATAAATAAAAGAATAAATATAAATATAAATAAATAAATAAAGTAAATAAATTAAAATATAAAAATAAATATAAATAAATAAATATAAATAACTTAGTTAATAAAATAAATAATTAATAATAAGTGGAGTAATTAATTAATTAATTAATTGATGTAATTAGCTTCGGAGTTTATTAATCGTTTTATTAATTCAAGATAAATTTATTAATCAACTAATTAATTAATTAATTTATCAATTAATTAATTAAAATTAAAAATTGCAAAAGCAGAAATTGCCACAAATGAAATACCCCCAAAGCCCTCCAGCATTTCCGCAAAAAACTTCGAAGATTCTCCATCTCCCTAAAAAATAAAAATAAAAATAAATAAATAAATAAATAAAAATAAATAAATAAAAATACATTAATTAATTAATTGGTTAATTTGTTTATCTATTTGTTTATTTAATTATTTGTTTATTCAGTAATTCGTGAGAAGTTAAATAAAATAAATAGTGAATTGGGAAATAAAATCTGTAAGCCAAACCCTAAACCCTAAACCCTAAACCCTGAAGGGATGAAACAACGGGCGAAAGGTGGCGCACTTGAGAACAAATAAATAAATAAATAAATAAATAGTAAATGAATAAATAAATAAATGAATAAATAAATAAATGAATGAATAAATAAATAGTAAACAAGTAAATAAAGTAATTAATTAATTAATAAATTTCAAAATAAAAAGAATTATATAATATTTCTTTGGCGGAAAGGAACTAAAGAAGATACGCATTTCATTCTTTTCCAAACCCAACTATTATTTCAATCACTTCAATTAAACTAATTAATTTAATTTAATTTAATTAATTTAATAATTTAATAAATTTAATTAATTTAATTAATTTAATTACTTCAATTTCGTAAAAAAGAGATAAAAATGTTAAAGCCTTAAATACAACTTCGGGGGCCTTTTGAAGCGCCGCAGTCAAACGCCCACTTTTGGGCTTCTGAAAAACAAAATAAAAATAAAAATAAAAAAATAAATATAAATATAAATAATATAAATAAATAAACAAATAAATAAATAAATATATTTAATTGATTTGTCTGCTGGTTATTTGCTGCTAAGGGGTTCGGTGGTGCGTTTGTTCGAAAAGAAGTCGCTGGAATGAAGCTGCTGCTGCTGCTGCTGCTGCTGCTGTTTGCTGCTGCTGATGTTTGCTGCTGCTGCTGCTGCTGCTGCTACGTGTCCGCAACTGCTGCTGTCTTCCTTGCTTCTGCCACGTGTGCTGGTGCTGCTGCTGCCTCTCTGCTGCCACTGCTACTTCCACCACTGCTGCTGCTACTGCTGCTGCTGCTGCTGCTGCTGCTGCTGCTTACTTCTTTTGAGCAGAATTTTCTGACGAGGAGTTTATCATTTAGTTTTTCTTTTGCGTCTAAGGCCTCTGCGAAGAATCTTGAAAGGAAAAAAGCAAAAAGAATAAAAGCAAAATTAAAATTAAATTAAAATAATAATTCAATTAAAATAATATTTAAAGTAAATAAAATTAATAACTAAATTAAAACTAAGATTGAATTAAAATTATAATTAAATTAAAATTAGAATTAAAACAAAATAAAAAGATGGCAGCAACTGCAGCAAGGCAGCAGCAGCAGCAATTGAAAAGCCTCCCAAAAAAAGCGAGCAAATAAATTAATTTATTTATTTATTTACTTATTATTGTATCATTTATTTTATTTATCTATCTATTTATTTATTTAATTCTTTATTTATTTATTTATTTATTTCAATTGAAGACAAACCCCTCCACCAGCCGCTCTGCCCACAGCGCCAAAGTCAAAGGGCCCACAGAGTCCGAAGACCGCAGCAGCTGCAGCAGCAGCAGCAGCAGCAGCAGCGGCACCAGCAGCAGCGGTGGTGAGAGATGCAGCAGGTATAGCGGAGGCATAAAGGCAGCAGCAGCAGCAAGAATGGCAGCAGCAGCAACTACAAAAGGAGATGCGCGGCAGAATCCGCAGCAGCAACACGAATGGCAGCAGCAGCAGAAGCAGCCACTGCTGCTGCAGCAGCACCAGCAGCAGGTGCTGCAGCAGCAACAGCAGCAACAGCACCAGCAGCAGCAGCAGCAACCCCGTCTCACCATGGCGCATCCAAAGCATTCTGCTGCTGCCTCAGACGACTGAGAGAGAAACCAGCACTGCAGCAGCAGCAGCAGCAACAGCAGCAGCAACAGCAGCAGCAGCAACAGCAATGATGCAGAGATGCACGCTGTGCTGCACCCGAAATCATATGCCGTGCAAACCCTGAGTCCTAAGCCCCAAAGCCTAAACCCTAAACCCTAAACCCTAAGTTAGGGTTTACCTGCTGGAAACTCTTCAGTGCCAAGGCAATTTTATTTTGCTGCTTTTGTGCAATGCCCAAGTGCCACCAGGTTGTCGGCAAGTCCGGCCTAAAGAAAACCCTAAACCCTAAACCCTAAACCCTAAGCCCTAAACCCTAAACCCTAAAACCCTAAGCCCTAGCCCTGCAAGTCTGGGCAGCGCGTCACAAGCCCTAAAGGGCTGCGCCTCTGTCATCTCAAACGCTAAACCCTAAACCCTAAACCCTAAACCCTACCTGCACTTGACAGCTGCTGCGTATTGCCTTTCTGCTGCTGCCCAGTTGAGCAGCAGCGCCTGCGTTTGGCCCGCGCCAATTCTTGCTGCTGCTGCTGCTGGTGCTGCTGCTGCTGCAGCAGCAAAAGCTTTTGCTGCTGACAGCAAGTCCCCCAGCTCCAGATACGCCGAGCCCAGCTGGCTCCAGCACTCCCCAGAGCTGCACGCAAACCCTAAACCCTAAACCCTAAACCCTAAGCCTTAAACCCTAAACCCTAAACCCTAGGACAAAGAGGGCCTCCTGCATTTCTTCTTTTGCCTCCACACCTTCACGCCTCCGGCCCGGGGCTCAGGGCTTCAGGCTCAACTAGGGTTTAGGGTTTAGGGTTTAGGGTTTAGGGTTTACGTGGGGTCTAGAGCTGTGGCTGCATGCAAAAGCTGAACTGCTTCTTGTGGGGCCCCCTCGAGTCTTTTGAGGTGTCCGTACACCTGGAGAGAGCCCACGGCCGTGGGGGTTATTGTCCGGCACTGCAAATAAATAAATAGATAAATAAATAAATAAATAAATAAATAAATAAATAATAAATAATTCAAATGTTTGGAACTGCTTTTGTTCAGATCCAGAAAATAATTCCAGAAAAAAGCAACGGCGAGAGCTGTGTGCTTCGCTGTGAGGGTTTAGGGTTTAGGGTTTAGGGTGTAGAGTTGCGGGTTTGGGGCATAGTTTGGATTTTAGGGTTTAGGGTTTAGAGTTTAGGGTTTGTAGTGAGGTTTAAGGTTCAAGCCGAAGCCTAAACCCCAAATTAGGGTTTGGGGTTTGCGAGGAAGCAGGCAGCAAACCCTAGCGAGCTCGAAGAATCCGATCAGAAGATCAAAATCAGATAAAACAAAACAAAACAAATAAAAGAAATAAAATGAATGAAATAAATATAATTAATTAATTAATTAATTAATTAATTAATTAATTAAAATAAATAATTTATTCCCACTTTTTCAGCCAAAGCTTTCAACTTTTCTCTTTTATTTCCTTTCGCCAAAAGCCGCCCAAAGTCAAACACGTAGTCCAGCCTCGAGGGGTTGCTGAGGTGTACGTACACCCCAAACCCTAAACCCTAAACCCTAAACCCTAAACCCTAAACCCTAAACCCTGAAGGCTGGGCGTGGAGCTTGGAGCTCAAATTTGAGGTGGAAATTTGCAGCATTTAATCCCAAACCCTAAACCCTAAACCCTAAATCTTTTGAACTCAAAACGTAAATCCCAAACCCTAAACCCTAATTTCGAAGCCTCCATCCCTCTACTTTCAAAATCCCCATCACACCCTTGTAAACCCTTAACATCACAAACCCTTCACAAACCCTAAACCCTCATAAACACCCCTCAGAACACCCCTCATAAACCCTGAACCCTCACGAACCCTAAACCCTCATAAACCCTAAACCCTCATAAACCCTAAAGCCTCATAAACCCTACAACAAGAGCGACGCTGCATTTCTTTCTGCTTTTCGAACCTAATGGACAATTGAACTAATTAAACATTTAGTTTAATACTATTATTTATTTATTTATTTATTTATTTATTTATTTTATTTCATTTAATTTACATGTTCTGAAGAGCTTCAAATAACTTTAATGCCGTTTCATCTTCCGCCACCTCCCCGGCGCATTTGGCCAACTGAAAAAATAGATAAATAAATAAATAAATTAATTAATTAATTAATATCTATTTATTTAATAATGATAATAAATAAATAAATAAATAAATATACAAATATACGAATAAATAAAATATTAATAATAATAGTAATAGTAATAAATAAATAAGTAAATAAATAAGTAAATAAATAACACATGAATAAATAAATTAATAAAAACATAAATGATAAAGTAAACAACCAACAATCAATTTATTGATTAACAAACAAATAAATAACAAATAATAAACAATGGTGTTGGTAATAATAAGTAATAAATAAATAAATAAAGTAGTAAGTAGCAAATAAATAAATAAAAAACATAAAATGATAAATCTGTAAATAATAAATAACGAATAATCAAGCAAATAAAAAATGCGAATAAATGGACAAACAATGCACTTAAACAAATAAAAAATAAACAAACAAACAAGCAAATAAATAAGTAAACAAATAAAAAGTAAACAAACAAACAAGCAAATAAATAAATAAACAAATAAAAAATAAATAAACAAACAAGCAAACAAACAAATAAACAAATATATAAATAAACAAACAAACAAACAAATAAATAAACAAAAAAATAGATAAATAAATGAATAAATCAAACAAACAAACAAACAAACAAATAAACAAATAAATAGATCAAACAAACAAGCAAATAAATAAATAACTAAATAAATAAATCAAACAAGCAAATAACTAAATAGTAAATAAATAAATAATAAATAATAAACAAACAAATAAATAAACAAATAAATCAGACAAATAAATAACAAACAAACAAACAAACAAACAAACAAATAAATAAATAGAAGCAGTTGGAAGTGCACTTGCCTGGGCGAGAAGAAAAGGACAATTGGGAAATGTTTGGAAAAGAAAAGAAAAAGAAATAATGGAAGAAAAAAAAGAATTTGTTTTTAAACTGAACTGCGCAAAGTGCAGCTGTCCGTACACCCCAGCGCCCTCCAAACCCAAAAACGCCAAAAAGTCCAAAAGCGATTTTCCGCACAAATTGCTCTGCACATAAATGCACTTTTACTATTTATTTATTATTATTTATTTATTCGTTTATTTATTATTTATTATTTATTATTTATTGTTTATTATTTATTATTTATTTATTTATTTATTTTATTTGTTTATTTATTCGTTTATGTCATGTATTTTATTATTTCATTTGTTTTATTTATTTATTTATTTGTTTATTTCATTTGTTTTATTATTTGATTTGTTTTACTATTTATGTTGTTTATTTCTTTATTTTATGTGCTTCCTTTGTTTTATGGATTTCTTTATTTTATTTATTTATTTGTTTTGTTTATTCTTTTGTTTATTTCATTTATTTATTTTGTTTATTTTATTTATTCTTTATTTATTCTTCTGTTTATTTTATTTATTTTAATTATTATTTCTATTTATGTTATTCCTTTGTTTATTCATTTTATTTATTTTATGAAAATCATCCTTTTTAATTATTCATTTTATTCTATTTATTTACTTCTTTTAATTCCTTTTAATTGTTACTTTTAATTGTTCTTTTAATTTCTTTTAACTGTTCTTTTAATTCTTTTAACTCAAACAACATTTTATTCGTTTTATTTCTTTTTGATTGTCATTTTAATTCTTTTTGATTATTTTGTTTATTCTTTTAATTATTCTTGTATTCTTTTAACTATCTTTTTCATTTTATTTATTCTTTTTATTATCTTATTTCCTTTTAATTCTTCCTTTCATTCTTTTTAACTATTTTAATTATTCTTTTAATCCCCTTTATTA